CCCAACCCCCCAAAAAAAAGTTCTCTGATCAAAGTTTTCTTTGTGGATTCGGGGAGATCTCGGCGAGCGCAGTCCAACCATGATTTCAAAAAATAAAATAAAAATTTTTTTGACCCATTTTTAGGCCCCACCGGAATTCCGGTTGGACCACCGCGGGTCCAACCGGCCGGTTGCCGACTTAGCCCTGCTTCGGAGTCAATTTGGCACTCGACTGTCATCTTATCAGCCTGCTTGTCTCCTTGTTTTTCTTACCCTTTTTTTTGTCAATCTTGTCAGCCTACTCCTGAGTCAGAAAGTCGTGGAGCTTATGCAAATTGAATTGAACAGAGCGGAATGATCACATTTCCCGAATAAAGGAAGACGACCTATGTCTGTTCCTTCATACTATTCAGTGAATGGTACAGCCGTAAGTGTTTGTTTGCTTGATGCCAGTCTTCTTTTTTCTGCATAATCGGACTGTGTGGCAGGACTATCCCTCGCCTAGGGGGTTGCCCCTGTTTGAACTCTTGGGCGATGTATCAAGAGTCGCCTTTGTTTACCGTTCATCCATCGGGCAGGCACACTCCTCTCAGTTGTTACAGGGGTTTGTTCACTTCTATTTATGGGCATACATGGGAAGGTCTGCAGTTAGGAAATTGGAGAGTCATTGCCATGTAGCATATGATACCAGAGCACAGCGATCTTGTGATCTTGTGGTTGACTGGGCTGATGAGGAAGAATCGACCTCTTAAGTTCGTAGTGAGATGATTTTGCGGCATCGGTATGTGTAATATCGAGGTCCCAAATACCAGGGTCCCGTATACCAGAGCCCCAAATACCAGGGTCCCATGTACCAGAGCCCCAAATACAGGCCTCATCATGGAGTACGGACAGATTTGCACTCCCTGGACCTAAGTGGTGCTCGTGAATTCTCTCAGTGATCCTCTCTTTGCACCCTTACCTGAATGCACGCGTTTGGTGAAGGGCCTCGTTAAATGACTGGGACACAGATGGAGCCCTGATGCTGGTGCTTGTGGGGTTGGAGGAGATTATGTGGCCTAGGGATTTCAATTACGTCCCTACTTCATGGTGTGTGGGGCATCATGGAGCACAAACATCATCCCAATCCTGTAGAAGGAACAGTTATGGGTCTGGTACAGATTTAATGAACACACTTGCAAGACTTAAGTCTGCGAAATGTTAGGGCTCTGCCACTCTAACAGTTTACATTGGACTTAAAATAAGGTTTATGTGATTTCTATGAGTGCAAGTGTTGTGTGCATTCTGACCGTGACCCTAATCTTGCTAGACAGTGTGTTTTCCTGCTTCGATGTCTGTTTGGGCTGCTTGCTTCTCTCTGTTTGATTGGGCCTTTGTAACAGAGAAAAGCGGTACTGAAGAGCCTTAAGCTGGGGAGCAGCCCTCCTGTTGTCCTCCAGATGAGAGTGTTCGAAGAACCCAACGAAGATGACCATGCGGTTCGTGCTGTTTATTTTCTTCTTTTGTTGCTATTGGTCCATACTTGTTCCCCCATTTTTCTTTACTCTGCTGAGAAACTTCATCTGCAGTGCACCAGAGACCAATGTCCCTTGAACCACTTGGGACCATTTGGTTCAACTTTCTAGACCAGACTGGTCTGGTTGCACCTGCCAAAAGGCTGGATGCCTCCAGCAAGTGGAGCAGGCGAGGGAAGGGAGAGTTGGGCTTGGGAAGGGTAAGGGGGAATGGTGGGAAGGTATGGGTGTTATGGAGGAGGAGGGAGTGAGGAAAGGTGGGAAGGTTTGGCTCACAAAGTCTTTGAGAAGAAAAGTTTCGAGGGGGGGAGAGTTGGAGTAAATCGGGAGAGGAAGAGAACTGAAAAAGTAGAGGCGGAGGAGAGTTGGCATAAATTGGTAGAGGAAGAGAAACGAAAAAGTAGAGATGAGGAGAGTTGTTGTACATTTGGAGAGGAAGAGGAAAGAAAAAGCATTGACAACATCAGACTAGTAGTCGATTGCAGTAACGGGTGGTGGCAGTGCAAGCAACTTGTTAGTGTACTCTTGATCCTGTGCAAAAGGGGCCCGTGGAGGTGGGGGACAGGGAGGAGTTTGTTAAACCACCGCTCCCCCTCATTGCCTAAAGTCGACTTCCCGGTGAGTTAGGGCCGGAAATGGAGGGGGGTCGGCGACCAATTTCACAAGGGCAAAGAAAAAAAGAAAAAAAAAAAAAGAAGAAAAGGAGTTCACGATTTCAAAAAAAAACTCGGCCTACCTGGGTGACGGGGTACCACCGTGAAACGGTGCGGGTTTCACTCCACAAACCCTCCTGTCAAAAACAAGAGCGAAAAACAAAACAAAACAAAACAAAAGAGCGAATCATCTCGTGGCCTACTTTCGGCATGGGCAAAACGAGAGTGAATCTTCCGCTAGAACATGGAAAGATACACCGGCATGAGGTTTGTCCACTGTGCATGTGGAGGCCCGAAACGCTGTGGCGCCCGCAGCCACGGCGGGATGTCAGAYGAAAGGGCCTCGCTGCACTACTCTCGACATGCACTAAAAACAAAAATCATGGCCGTGTATCTCTYCATWTTCTTGCGGAAGATTCAGTCTCGTTTTGCGCATTTCGAGAGTAGTGCAGCGAGGCCCTGAATCTTTTGCTAGAAAATGGAAAGATGCACGGGCACATTGTTTTTCTTTTGTGCTCGTTGTAGGTTTTTGAACAGACTGGCCCCAACTTGGAAAGTCGCCATACGTTGCTGAAACAGCGGGCCGCCACTTCGAAATGCTTCTTTTTTTGAGAAGCATTTCTTTGTTTCTTTTTTTTTATCTTTTTTCTTCTTAAATGCTTCTCAAAAAATAAAAATAAAAAAAAATTCCTTTTTTTACGGGCGCCGTACACACTGGCACGTTTCAGACCCCTCCACAGGTCGTGGCAGTCCCTGCTACCGGTAGGTCAGCCACCTGTTCCAAAAATTTCCCTACCGGTCCCCCCTACTTTAGGCTGCGGGGGGGAGCGGTGGTTTAACTGGGGCACTACTTCCCACAGCATTGTCCGAAAGGAAGGAAAAAAGGATGTAGCAGTTCAGGGTTTTGGTGGCTGGGGGGGGGGGGGGGGGGGGGGGGGGGGGGCATGTCCATGGTTGGAAACTCCTCACCGA